TATACTCAGTTCTTTTTACTTTTTAATCATTTCATATTCTTAATCCATCAATCTAACTTCCTTCAGATGGGAATTTAAATGATTGGCTGTTCAGGTACCAAAGAAATCCTTTAAAAATATAAATATTTATACAGAAAACGGACTGATGGTTGCCAGAAGGGATGGGAGTTGGGGGACTGGTTGAAAGAGGTGAAGGAATTGAGAAGTACAGATTGGTAGTTACAAAATAGTCATGGGATGTAAAATGCAGCATAGAAAATATAGTCATTAATATTGCAATATGGTGTTAGGTGGGTACTGAAAATATCGGGGGGAACACTTTGTAAAGTATATGGTTATTTAACAACTATGCTGTACACCTAAAACTAATACAAAATAATATTACATGTAAACTGCAATTGAAAAAGTAAAAATGAAACAAGGAAATATAAAATTAAACTATACATATTTATAACTAAGTCAGGTGTGCCCAAAGTCTGATTTATAAGATGGGGGATGGGGGGTGGGATAAGGGAAGAGCTGGTCACAATAATTCTCATGCACACACACACAGAAGCCTGAGCTATGATTACAACCTCTTCTCTCTGTTTACTTACCCAGAACCTACATTATGCAAACCTGACAACACATGTTTCCTATCTGGTCAGTTTGATAAAGATGTACCATGTCAGTGGTGTTTAGCTTGTGATGTGGCGATTGTTTCAGCACTGACTGTCGGTGACCTGTGTGTCAGCTGACGCGGTTACCAGAAATTAGCATGCAGCCTCCTAAAATGCCAGACACATGGACCCTTTCCGCAGAGAAATATAATAGGACCCACATGATAGCTCCATTAAACAATGAAACATGTGACATTAACTGAAAACAGGAACACATCAGCAAATATGCCTGAGGAAGTTTATGGTATTTAACTCCTAAACATTAATTTTATTGTGGCGTATGAGGAATTAATTAACTGAGAGTTTCCTTTTTTATTGAAAGCGGAAATACTGTTCAGGAAAGCGATGAAGAGTAAATACAACATATTTTAAGTTTATTAAGCTTGGCTCATCGACTTCTATTTATTTAAGCTAATCTCATAAGGCAATTAAATATTTCAATCAGTAACTTTATGTGGCCATTTTATTTAGCACATTTCTGAAACATTAATCAATGTGTTAGAATGCAGAATGAGTATGTGAATACATTTCTAGTTTCCTACAGCCAAAACAATGATTCCATACATTTTTTAATCACATGATCTTTTCAAACTTGAGCTCTGATAGACAAGTGGAAAATGACAATAGAAAAGATTAAAAGTTAGTGATTATAATGAAGATAGTTCAGGTTAAGGTTATATCTACATGACGTAAGTGTTTCCATCAGCACTGTAATACTTTTCTCTAAACAATTAAGTTTTCCTAGTTAGAGGACGCTTCATGCAGGTGTGGTAGAATGAATGTGATCCCAGATAGGATATAAAATGCAATTAATTGCTGGGTGGGGTTTTAGAAAAGAATCTTATTTTTTTTTTTTAAATAGGATCTGTGTTTTCCCAGCATTATACTCAGTATTTATCATTTATAAATAATTTAATAAGAGGCACCGTGGTAGACCCTGTTTCATATATAATCCTATTTAATCTCTAATGATTTAGTAGAATGGGTGTTATTAATCCATTTTGCAGATGAGGGAGCTGAAGCTCAGTAACTTGTACAAGGATAATCAAAGTAGAAGAATAAGGTAAAACGATTCCAACTCCATGATGTCCTTAGACTCTTTCGCCACCCAAAGTGCACTTGAACCAATTCATTTGAAGACCCACTTAGTTTATAATTCAGAATCGGAACCTTGGTGTTTAGATTTTTCAAGTTTATTTCAGGACTGTAATGATTGTTTTCTGATTAAAATGAGCTAGTGCCCATAAATATAATTTAAAACTGGGATTTTTTTCTTATATTGTTTAATGATGTACAGCTATATTCCACACTATTTTTTTTTCTGATTTCTACCATTATATTTCTTAAAGGGAAAATAACCTTATGTCCAACAAAAAGCGTATTATTTTCAGAAACAGATGTTAGTGAAATGTATGATGGTTAAGTCGCCCGACCTGTAATTTTGTTTTATTACGTCCCTGTTGAGAACATATTAGCTTTTTTTCGTAAGATTCCATAGGTTTTCATTTTATTTATTTTATCAGGTCATAGTCTAAACAGGAAAATTTATCATCAATACTTTCTATGGATTGATAAAAAACATTTGAGTTTTTGATACCAACAAATGGTATACATTGACTTGGAACTCCAATCAAGGTGGATTAGGCAGTCTCTTTCATTGACACTATTAATATCACTCGAAACAACTGAAATCAGAGGAGTCACATGTGGTTGACAATTATGAGAGGAATAAAAATGAAGGCCCACTGAAGAGAGGGGATGTTAGGTTGCCTTGTCTCCCTACCGCTACTCCTTGCCGCAGTGTGACTAGGTAGGAAGTAGTTTGCACTACTTACTGCTTCCACCCACCTCCTCAATCAAACCGACTCACCCTGCCAGGGTGTCAACAAGCGGTGCCACTTTCTTTTGCCATTGGCTTCTTAATTTTAGAGTTTGGCCTGATGCTCATTTCAAGGTTGCCCCCAACTATGGAGATCTTACTCTATTTTATCAGAAGTGGTATCGTTTTATAACTTCAAGCACGCCGGGTATGAGTATCAAATGGTTAATACACTCACAATTGTAGGAAAGGAAAAATTTCTGCCTGCCACTTTACAGTCACGCTGAACAAATTTAGTATGCCAACTCTGTCAAACGGGAGTGAGGCTAAGGTGTTCTTGACCTTTTCCAAGCCTACAGTTATGCTATTGTTCATACTCAATGTGGTTTTCTCTTCAGCACAATAATTGCTAATGGGACTTTTTTTCTATAGTTGCTTAAAATTTTTCTTTTTGGAAAACAGAACTAGTCTATATGTATATATTGCAGGTGCAGTCTGAGGCAACTGATGACTTTTAAAAGTGTCTTTTTTCATTTTAGTAGCCAAGGTTACCAAAACTATATTGCAACATTTGCTTAATGTGAATAGTAGTTCCTTAGGAAAATGGAAAGAAAACAAAAACTTTATGATTAAAATCTCAGAATTTAGTGTAGCAATAGAACTGAACATTCTATTTTTAGAATTTAAATTATTCCTAGAATTTAAACATTTAAAATGTAAATAGAGCCCCAAATTATTTATTTTTAAAAGTTGGTGTTTCTTGATGAATCGATCTACAAAGAAGGAATGATGTGGCAAATAATATTAAATGAATAAATTAAAAATCCAGAGTGAGAACATTATCTTAAAAAATAGGAAACCAAAGTGTAAAAAAAAAAAAAAAGAAAAGGAAAAAGATGTGAAAACACAGTGTAAAACCCACAAAACCATAGAAGTGAATTTTTATAGTCCTGAGTTCAGTTCACTTTTTATTTAGACTTCAAGTTACAATTACTCATCCCAAATTACTTTGTATATTTGAAAAATTATATTTCATTTTTTCAATATTATATATTGAAAGGTTTAAAGACTAGACATAAATGCTAACTACGAAAATTCAAAACATCATTTAACAGGAAACTTAGATATGATTTCTATTAATGGTGGCTAGAGTTTTGCAAATGTAATAAATACTGAAGCATAGCAAGATGCTAATGGGACATATTAACATATAACATATTTATTTATTAACATATAAATGAACCCAAATCTATTGTTATTTATAGAATGATATTCTGCATAAATATCTAAAGTGATATTATTTCACTAATTGTTTTCATTGGTGTTCTGCTTTAATCAATGAAAAATATTTCAATAAGCTTGCTTTCCCTATAATCTTTCTAGGCGTAGTAACGATGTTTTAGAAGGTATTTAGCTTATTAATTTAGCCACTTTTTGGAACTTACTATTTTTATTTAACACATTATAGTTGACATTTTGGTGATGTAAATTTTTTAAAAATGAAGTATTTGATTGTTTCTAAAACTAACAATGTAACAATGTGCAATTTTGGTTCTGGTAAAAAAAACGTCAAAATAAGAGGCATGTAAAGTTAATAAGCAATATAAACCGTTATCTTGGTAACTCATCACTTAGAGCAAAAATGCCCTTGTAGTGTTTGTAAGAGGACTCATTCATTATTCATACAATCATTCAATAAATAGTTGAATGTTATAATAAAAGTTTAGATACAACAATAAATAAGATAATATAAGCACCTGCTCTCATAGAGCTTTTAATTAAAAGGAAAGAGAAAATACAGGGTGGGAAAAAGTAGGTGTACCATTGTGAGTATGCGAGTTTATTATTGTATTTTTATTTATTGATTTATTATTGCATTATTAGTACAATATAATCATACATAAACTTATATTTTCCCACGCCTGTAGATTCAAGATCCAAAGGAACCAGACAAAAGAGATCTAACAGGCAAGCTCTCCCTGTTCTGAGTTAAAAGGGGTTTAGAACATCAAGGAGAGTGAACACTCAAAATGCCAGTCCAGAGTTAAGAAAGAAGTTTGGTCTGGGAACTAAAAGAAGACTAGGAAAAAATTAAGCTGTAAACATAGGGTGGAGACAGATAATGGAAGGCCAACTACAACTAATTAACATTAAAAAACGTGGGTTTATCGTTAAGTAAACAACAACAATGGAAAGTTATTGGAAAGCATATTCCTATGTTACCTATGTAAAAATAAATGAAACGTGAAAATTATAGTATTCATATTTTATGAATACACTGGAAATAGAAGTTATGAAACTTAATTCTAAAGAGTAAATATTGGCTTCAGAAGCACAGAAATAATCTGAGCTCTTTTACATACCAACATGAATCCTTTTCAATACCTTCTATGTGTTTCCCCTTTAAAATAAATATGCTATATGGGTGATCTCATTTCTTGGTGTGGCAGAAATGTTAAATTGCCTAATTTAATGCTATACCCTCCACCCACTCCCAAATGAGAAAACTCAATGGTACTTACTACATCCAGCCTTGTAGCTGAAGCCGGGAGGCAGGAGGAATCCTTGCTGGGCAGCTGCAGCCAGTGTCCGTTGATCAGGAGGGAATACGGGAATCATTAATGGCGGCAGTTGACCTTGAACCTGCTGAACATGATAAAGAGGATCAAAGAGAAGAAGTTTGCTGCTCCATGTATCCACCCTTCTTACTTTATGATAAAAGAAAATCATTTATTCAATTCAATATACTGGCATACAAGCTTGTTAGAACACTGGGCTTGAAGTCTTGCTTTGGCACTACCTTAGGAGAATCAAAATATACAATAACTGAAAGGTGTTATCAAGTTCATTTTCTGACCTGATGAGTAATTTCCCTATATGATAGCCTTGAGAGTGATGAATGAAGCATGTATCACTACTTTCACACAACAAGCCCCTTTTCATTGCATTAATATAATGGTTAAAAAAAATCCCTTAGGTTGAACTAAAATCTCCTCATGTAAATCCTGCCTCTTAGGAATAATTCTACTTTCTAAAATAAAACCAACCAAACCAGTATAATTTTATATGTGAGCAGCTCTTCATTACTTGAAGGTAATTCTCATGTTGACACATAGAATTGAAAATTTATGATTTTTAAATAAAATAGCTGGAAGAAATCTTAGAGAGTAAGACTTTCCCCTTTCTTTATAGAAGAGGTTACTGGAGCCAAAAGACAACTTAATTGTCCACGGCCATTGAAACTAGGTCTAGAATCCAATCCCTTGAATTCTGCTCTATTCATACTTTGCTCTTCATCTATCATTTCTCAAGCTTTAAACCACTCTGTGAATGACATAGCCACTGCTCTGGTTGCCTTCTTTGGACTACGCCTTAATTAGCTGGTATAACTCTCGGAATATGGATTTCACATCAGTAAATGAATAATACAGCACAATGGAATAACTATCTTCTTTGAACTGAACAAGAATTTCCAGACCTAATGCTGTCATTTCTGCAGCTATGTCACATTAGTGACTAATGTAGAGGTGGTCATTAACTAAAGTACCTAGGATATGCTTTCCAAATATTTAAGCAAGATCTCCCTGGTGAACATGATTATTGTTCAGTGTTTGTCACTGAATATGTGAATGAGAATTTAGAATCATGCTGAAAATCACACATCTGACACTTTATTTTTACTTACTGCTCCACATTAATTCAGTTACTTGGAAAATATTTGATAAACACATACTCTGCAGAAGAAAAATGAACTAGACAGTAGATATACAATAGTGAACAATAAACCAAGGTCCTGTGCCCATGGAGCTTACATTACAGTGGGAAGAATAGTAAAAAGTAAAGCAACTATACCACCAAATTACAAGTTCATCCATTCACTAATCCTAACAGCAACTCTGAGATATCTCTCAGACTTGTTTTCCTTTCTTCCGTAGCACTGCACATTCTCAGGGCAGTTATGATTCCTATAGTTCTCATCATTTGTCACATTAAAAGTCTACCCTCAGTTTCACCTTCATCTTTCACAATAAACCTCTAAGCTCTTCCTGAGATTTTGATTGGTGAGTGTCCCTTTGGGGTTGAGAGTGTGTGTGAGAGAGAGAGATGTGGGAAGGGAGGGAGGAAGTGAGGGAGAGAATGGGAGAGTGGGAGAGATGAGAGAGATATGAGCACTATAAGAATGAGACATCTCTTTTCAGCAATCACTCCAAATTGGAAATTATTTCTTCTAGCCGATAGAATTTTAAACCCGCCACTGTCATACCTTTTTAGTAAAACTACAGCCAACAGTTTTTTGAATGTTCTGGAAAAGAGATAAACTTCATGTAGAAATCGATGAAAAATAATTGACTAAAGACTCAAAAAATTAGAGCCTGCAGATTGAGCAAGAATGTAGGAATAAGTGGCCTAAAACAAGGGATGGACATTGGAAGGCAAAACAGTATGGGGGCCAGTTCAGTGTCAGCAGAGAATGTTGACCAGAGTAACACGCAGAGACAAACAAGAAACCAGCCACATTGGTTAGGGATTATCACCAGCAACTCTATATCCTTTATATTTCATTGTTTCTAAGTTATATTTTATATACTATTTTTCTTCCTTTCTAAGACAATGTTGGTTATATGATATATCATAAATTTAAAAAGAGAATTTTAGAGGGAAGAAGAAACTTAAAATGAAACATGCACACATTTGAGAAAAATAATTACTACAGAATTGCAGAAAGAATAGTTTTTTCTCTTAGTGCAGTAGTTCTCAAACTTGAATGCATATGAGTATCACCATGCAAGCTCTGAAAAATCCTCAGTGCTCAGACTGCTTCCCAGACCAATTAAGTCTGAATCAGTGGTGAGACCCAGCCATCAGCATTTTTTCATGTTCCCCTGATGACTACAATGTGCATCCACACTTGAGAAGCGCTGTCTTAAAGAATGCTTTCAGTCACTGTCAACACATTTTTTTTTTGTTTTCTTCATTTTTGCCTTGAGTTACAAAGCACTTTCACATACATAATTAGTTAAAAGGGAGACTCTGCCTGACTTTTATAGGTGCTGGTGCCCACAGGATAGACCAGATATTAAGCTATATTCCTCACAGAATTCCTTCTGAGTGAGTCTTGTATCTGTATTTTACATGCCCTTCTTGTAAAAACAACAACAACAACAAAAGAAAGAAACTTGGCTGGTTTAGAAAGTAATGACCAAATCCCTCAGCCTGGTACTCAAGTTTCTTCACAATCTGTCCTCTGTCTACCTTCCTAGGCATTTCTGCTGCCCTCCTTTAGATATGCTGTCCTCTTGCCTCAATGGATCATGAAGAGTTCCTTGCATATTCGGTGTTTTTCCATGCTCGAATGGATTCAAAAGTATTTTCTTCTCTGTTTTGAGTGATTTCTCTATTCCCTTTCTTCTTGGCAAAATTCTACTTATTTTTTAAAAAGTTTTTGAGATCTACATAATGTCTTTGCCTGTGAAGCACTTCTTTCTTATGGTGCCAATTTCCAGGCAGAAAGAACTGTTACTTCTTTTAACCTCATAAAACTAATGTAATACTTACTGTATTGAATAATAGTTATTTACATAACCTGAGTTTCCCTAATGACCTATGACCTTAAAAAGGAAAGAGGTTGTAACTTTATTATTATACCTTCAGAGCTCAGAACAAGAGGTAAACTATTTGTGCATTGATAATTCATAAATAAAGAAGAATGAATTATATAGTCCTATCTTTCTCATAATATCTTCATGAGACAACTCCAAATGTTCAAAAAAGGCCTGTGGACAAAAATGTTATTTAATGACCACAAAGGATTTCAATTTCATCAAGAAGAATAACGTGCCAACTATTTGTGCTCCCATTCTTGTTATAGCAAAATGGTCTTATACATTATGATATATCCATGACTCTTGGAATTACCCATGCATAAAAAAACAAAAAAGTTATCCAGAAATATTAGAAATTTATTACATACTTCTGTAATTCCTACCTATTATGGTCTAGTAAAATGATGTTTTAATTATTATAGCTTTACAGTGTGTTTTAATAAAAGTATTCCAGGATTACTATTTTCTTTTTCAAATATAACTTGGCTTTTATGACATTTATTTTCCACAGTAATTTTAGAATATGAAATTTCTATTTGGATTCATTAACCTTATGGTTTGATGCCTAACAGCAGATTATATCTTTCAATTTATTTAAATCTTTTCTTGCTTCATATAATTCTTATAGTTTTCTAGGTAATTTTATTTTTAAGATTTAAAAAATATCTTATTTATATTTTAAATGGATTGTGTTATTGTTTAACTGGTCATTGTGTGTACATAAGCCTATCTGTGTAGGACAGTTTATATCAGATAATTCATTTATAGTCTAACTAGTGGCCCAGTGCACAAATTTGTGCACATTGAAAGGAAATTAATTAGAAAAATATTTTAAAATCACTATTTTCCCTTTCTCTATAATAGAAGTGTCAACCAAATTCATGATCGACAATGACAGATCAAAACACATGTGTGCGATTGGTACCACCAGCGAGAGCTTTATATATGTCGCACGTGCATGAGTCAACTTAGCCTTTTATATATAGAGAATAAACTTGCTTAATTAGACCTGATTTCTGATGTAGCTAAACTTTTTCCAGCTCAGTGAAGCACCCCAACTTCTCTTTCAGGTAATTGTCAGCAACACAGCAGTAAATATCAACACGAAGCAGATTATTATTGTAGATCAGGTAGGGAGAACAAAGGGTAAAATATTTAACTGCAGCAGTGTTTGACTATATTCTGCACAGTGAGGAAACCTGAAATCACTTTCAAGGCCCACCATTTCATACTTCTTTTCAGTCAGGTCAAGTTTCTAAATTTTCTAAATCTCTGTTTTACAGCTAATGGAAAGAAAATAAGATTATGAGTCTCCTATCTACCTATTCCAGGACTTCTGTGAGGACCAAATGAGATGAGGCACGGGGAAAACACTTCACAGACATTTGGTTAAAGTGTGAAATGTTTGCACCTGGCTATACAGCAAGTCCTGTTCCTGGGCTGAAGAAACTCCAAGGAAGCTAGTCACTAGGGATAGGAAGCAGGGCGTTGCTATGTGACATCATTACCTGGCACCCACAGTGGCCATTTCTGGGCTGGGCTGTGGGCCACATTTTGCACCATGGGGTCTCAGCAGCATTGGTTGTGCTTTGGTGGGCTGTTACTCCAGGATGGTGGCGAGGCCTGGGTCCCACTTGGGGGAAGCTGAGTGTTGCTTTGTGGGCACCAGGTCCACAGTGCCATTTCTCTGTGTGCATCACAGCAGCTCCTGCGTTGAGCATCTGCCCCCTGGTGGTCAGTGTGCATCATAGCAACTGGTTGGACAGTCAGACACTTAGCATATTAGCCACATATATTATAATGTTTCTTTCAGCTAACAATGTTAGTATTTGAAAGAACAAACTGATGAGCAAAATTGGTCCAGAGACATGGAAACATGGAACAGACTGACAGATCTCAGTGGGAAAGGGAGAGGGGGTGTGAGAAGAGATTAACCAAAGAACTCATATGCATAGCCATGGACACATATAATAGGGAGGTGAAGGCCTGTGGTGGGGCGGGAGCTGGGTGGAGGGGGGTGCAAAGGGGAGAAAATTGGGA